AAAGACATTTAGGCCGGGTGCAGTGGCTCAAGCCTGTCATCCTAGCACTCTGGAAGGCAGAGGTGGGAGGATTGTTTGAGCCCAGGAGTTTGAGACCAGCTTAGGCAAGAGTGAGACCCGTCTCTACAAAAAATAGAAAAATTAGCCTGTCATGGTGGTACGCGCCTGTAGTCCCAGCAACTCAGGAGGCTGAGGCAGAAGGATTGCTTGAGCCCGGGAGTTTGAGGTTGCTATGAGCTGTGATGACACCACTACACTGTAGCCAGAGTGACAGAGCAAGACTCTGATTCAAAAAAAAAAGTAAATGTTAAAGTGAGAGTTACTAGAGGAGAATAAATTTATGTGGAAACATTTTTGTTTTCCCCGTAATTTTGGACTTTACCAAAATCCTCAGAACTTTAAAAAAATCAGTCTCTCCTCTTTCACCTTTCTTCCTCCCCTGACCCTTCACCCCAGGCTTTAGCGTCAGTAGTTAACTCTTTCCATGAGAAAATTGTGGCCCTAGAAGAAAAAGCTTCACAATTGGAGAAAACTGGGAATGACGCAAGCAAAGCAACCTTAAGCAGGTCGATGACCACTGTCTGGCAGCGCTGGACGCGTCTCCGTGCTGTAGCCCAGGACCAGCAGAAGATATTGGAAGATGCAGTGGATGAGTGGAAGGGCTTTAACAATAAGGTAATTTCCATTATTCATGGGCTCAAGTTATTTTTTTCCTCATTGGATATAATGTATTTTGAAAAACAGGATTTTGTTCCTTTTTGAAATCAGCCTTTTGAAAGTAAAAAGGCTTTTTAAAATCTCCATTTCAACTCTGGGAGGCTGAGGCACGAGGATGGCTTGAGGTCAGGAGTTTGAGCCTGAACAAGAGTGAGACCCCATCTCTACTAAAAATAGAAAAAATTAGCCGGATGTGGTACTACAGGTACGCGCCTGTAGTCCCAGCTACTCCAGAGGCTGAGGCAGGAGGATCACTTGAGCCCAGGAGTTGAGGTCGAGCTAGGCTGATGCCACTGTACTCCAGCCTGGAAAACACAGCAAGACTCTGTCACACACAAAAAAACAAAAAACACTTTACTTCAATGAAAAATAAATTATGAAACAAAATACAATACGCAATGGGCAATTTAGTCCCAAGTCAGGGTCAAATTATTTCAATTAGAAAACCAAGCAATCACATTTTGAAAAAAGGACAAACCCATTTTGCTACATTTGTTTTCTCACCTGGTCTTGAAAAAGTGCAAAATACTTTTCCTTTGCCATGCAAATGAACAGAAATTTAACTCATTTCCCAAATCTTATATTTAGTTTTTTCCACCTTTTAAGGATTCAGTATTTTAAGCCACATCTTCCTTTATGACTCAAAGGCACACGTTTATGTTAAGTATTGAGAAAAGTTTTTCATTTGTTTAGTTTAAAAAAAAAATCTTTGCTTGTAGTTCTGACTCAGGCAGGGCAAAGGCAATATATGTAACCTAAACATTTGTGCCCCCATAACATTCTGAAA